AAATGGATTTATGAATGTATGACTGTTAACATTCATCACAACATCTGAACCCTGGTATCTATAAACACTAAGTGGCCACTTAAATTTTAATAACGAATGTTTAGCTATTATTTTGCTACCTAATGGTTTGATTGCATAGACTAAAATATGCCCATTAAATTCCGCTTCCACTTCTTCAAGGATGAAATATTTCACATGATCAAGCACAATTATATCAAACAATATACCAAACACTGGTATATCCTCATCGTAATTAATTACCAGAGCACACCCTCTGCGGTATTCATTGCCATGAATGGCGACAAATGAAGTTTGGTAAACTTTTTCCACACAAACCATTGTCAGTTGACAGAATGCTTGGAGTAATTCTGGATACACTTCCCCAAATGTAATCTCAACACCAGAACCTACTTTGTCACCTGCATACAAAAATGAAGATGATCGTCCACCTTCATGACCAGCCTGCATGTATGCCATATACATTTGATGGCGACTTGCAAGTGTCAGTGGAATGTTTCTGAAGTTCTTATACCTCTTATTTGTAAAGTAACCATTTTTGCCTTCAAATCTCATGCACCAATGATGTCTCAGTGGTCCATACATTAACATTTGAGTAGGTAGGTGCACCATATAATGCATTTTGGGAATGAATGATGCTTTGGGATACAATGATTTAAAATTGTACAGATATTCAGCAATAAGATTTTTCAAATACATTGCTGTGTCTCTTGTACAATACGATGATGTACAAAATAGTACAATTTGTACCAGGCGCAGCGTATTTTTCCAATAAACATCATCAAGAGGTATTCGATGCCCAATAATGACAGGAAGAATGTGTACAAGTGTTAGCATTGCTGATGCACTTTGCTTGATAGTTCCGCAACCATCAATATGTTTTTTCTCAATTGGCTCTGGTTTTGAACTACTATGCAAATAAGAATAAGGAAATCCTCTAATTGCTGAATTAAACCACTTTAGTGTGAACAGAGACTGCACAAATATAAATCTAAAGAGTACATGAGACAGCTCATGTGGGACAACGCCTTCCAACAGAACATGCATCGGGTCTTGAACAAGCCAGAAAGCAAATCAAATTGCTTGAGTTTTAGAAGTTCACTGGTACATTTATACCCATAACTTACTCCAGTAACACCCTTGCTTGTTTACTCATTTGCATAAGTCATCACATCTATTAATGTGTGCCTCTTTATTTCTAAGCACCACTTGTCTTTCGTCAAACACATTTTTTAAGTTTACAGCCTCTACTTCACATCTCCTGCAATTTTTGAGAGCAAATGAAACGCCTTCCTTAAATTTCCCTAGCCAATTAGATGCAAGAGTGTCAGCAGGTACAATAACAAGTGTCACCCTTATAGTATGCCTTACCCCATGTAGTTATATTATTATGCCATCAGTTTCCATTTCAATCACTGTCCTTATAAAATCAGACAACAACTTTCTTTCTGAATCTGCATTTCTAATATCTTTTGCCTTACATACTGCTAAGAGCTGCATGGCATTAAGCTTAGATCTGTATTCAGGGGGGATATTAGCCAAAGTAAAGTAGAACATAGTCAGTTTGTGCTTTTTAATATGACTACCTAGTGGGTTTACAATTTCCAGGTCATCACAATTCAAAACAATTAAAAGTGCTTGCCTGTCAGTTACAAAAATGGGATGTGTTTTGTCAAAGTCTCCATCACAAATGTCATACATGAATTCATCAGATGACATACAGGGATGTTGTATGTGTTCCCAGACTTCAGGCAGGAGTAATAGTTGCTGTAAACATTGCTTAAAAGGAATGATGTACCCTAACCTTGGTACTATTTGGATTGTACCATTCTTTGTGACAAACTTTTCACCTATCACTACTTGTTCAGGCTGAACTAGAGTTTCTAGTTTCTTTTTATACAAGGCCTTTCTTTTTGCATCACTAGAAAATAATTCCAACCCTGTAACAATATCAATGTCATTAATGACATTTGAGTCAATTCCTAAACTTTCTAACTTTTCTGCAATTTGTTTCCTGTATAAATGTATTTGACTATGAACTAACGTGTCTGTTGTTGATACAATACTGTCAATCCCAGCTTGTGAAACATTGTGCATTGATTCTAAACTGAGGGTAAACATGGCATTAAAATGGTTGATGCCTGGTTCTCTTACAAAAGGGAGAACAAAAGTATCTTCATCTGTATCAAAGTCATCTTCAGCAGTGTTCATGTCTATGTGTTTGTGCTTTCTATGAACATGAACCTTATAATTTGTCCAGCGATTGGTTGTGTAAGCACATGAATCAATGCAGCAAGCTACAGAAAAATTGGGACCATTTTTATGGAAGCGTACAAAGTGCCTTTTGAAGGATGTAAACAAATGATTTGAATATGAACACAAACAACACTTAAATATAGGTTCCTCCATATTAAATCAGTGTGTATTGTAATTAGAACAGACTGAGTGCAAAACAAACCAAAAAACATTTAATATGCCTGGTATTATTACTGTTTTGATTAGGCCCTATAAAAAAAACTTCGCCTCTGATTATTTTATTTTGAAAAAGTCAGCTTCGTTCGATTGAAATATCAACAAATTAGATTTGAAACAAAACAGATTTGTCTTTGATTCTGTTTTTATTTGAATATATGTACTAATGATTAGCCTATCTTTGTAATGTAACCTTATAACGGAATAATCAGAGCTCTTTCCCAACAGTATCACTATTAGTTCAATTGGATAGCACGCTAATAATCAGTATGATGAACGCTAGCGTTCAACACTGCGGCGTGTAACAGAATTATTCTGAAATCCGACATTTAGCCTCGTTTGTTGTTTGATTCACAGAATTTCCAAAATATTAGTCTCGCGTATGTGAGACCACAAAATTAAATAAATATATATAACATTGAGATCGTAAGTCGCTCAAAGTTGCTCGAAAAAGGTGGGTACTCAACAAAAAACTATGCCAAAAAACTGGACCCTTCAAAATACCGAATGGGCCGCGGTTCAAATTTGCAACATGTTCAATGTCATTTTGCCACAAAATACAATACGTACAGAAACAAAGGTGCTTTGATTATGTATCAACAGTTATCACGCAGTCAGAAAAACGGTATACTGAGAACAGGTAATCTTGGTGAAAGCGGCACAAAACAGTTTCCTGCTTGCAGCAAAATGTCGTCTGCCCCTGGTCTGCACAGAAATGGCGCGCTCGTCTTGCGCATGCTCAGTTGTGACGTCAATCGAACGCTAGTGTCTCCCGTCAATGATTTATTCTAGAATAGTAACATTCTTGAATTGAACACTAGCGTTCTGTAAGCTTTTTATTCTCATTATTTTCTTAAAATAACCCGTTTAAACGCATTTACGTTGTTTTTATTACAATTAAATAACAAACATACAAAACAAACATGTGAAGCAAACGTGACAGTATATTTGGTTTACAATAGGGCCTACAGTGTTTAGTCGCATACGAGCATCAAACAAAACAATGTTATTTTTGTATTTTTAGAAGTTTGCCGGAACTAGAAAAAAAAAACAATATCCGCTAAAAGGGTCGTGATGTATTTAAAGTACGAAAAATGTTGTCTGGATAAAATCACACATATAAGAACTGTTGCCAGTTGTAATCAGAATAGTAGCGTTCAATTTCTGAACACACCTGTTTTATATTTGAACGCATATTACGCTTTCTATGGGTCAAACTGAACACATGGGACGCGTCTTAGCGTCAAAATGTTTAGAGTGTATGTTACTTTTACATATCGACAATATTTTTTAGTGTTAGA